CGCACTTCGGCGCTGCTAATTATTGCTTTGTCTCGGGAATTGCACCTTCGTCTTCAGAGAATAAGACCGACAGTCGCTGTCAAGGCCGGAGATATTGTCTCGGAGTACGATTTAGCCGATTCGATCGTCACCGGTGACTTCGGCCACATTACCGTGCGCGCTCTCGGCGAGGGCGTCATTAACAGTACCTACGTATACACCGATGTATATGCCAATTGTGTTATTTATAGCGGCTGGCGTGTATCGTGATGGGTAATACCACGCGAGACCACGCGATACGGGCCGCGCGCCAACGAAAATGATTTTGTTCTCTCCCCGCGAGATCATTTTCGCAATTCACGGAAGTCGCAATAACGCTGGCCACACTTCTCGGCCCGAGTGATTGTAACGCCCTTCAATGGGCAACGCTTTTATCGTCGAGTCTCCGAAAGGATTCTCCCTACTGCGCGTATTGTACAGTTCCTGTGGAAGCCTCGGCGATACACGACAGAGAAACGTAACGGACGGAGGGAATATTCGTCCGCAGAAAAGAATACCGTTATAGCGACACGATATCATCTTACACTATTTTGTATAAGTGCGAAGTCTAAAAGCGCAATGGAGAAAATACACGGTGCCTATATGCAGAAAATGTCATGTTCGCGTAACGTTATACTTGGCACGATGCGAGACCCTCCTCTCCTCCCTCCACTGTTCGCCGATGATCGTACATGTGAACGGTAATTATTAGCGAGACGGCTTACTAAAGCGTGCGTACTCTTGTACATCAGTATCGAATTGCGCAATACGCGCCGCAAAATTATATAGCTCGCAATATGATACTTATATCCGCGATATATGCCTTATAAATCAGCAACGTGACGTCGTTTCCCCTTTAGCGTTATTTCCAAGCAGATTTTCTGCGTTCACGGCCGTAAATTCCGCTCATGGGGATTTAAACAGCGACCAGTAGATTTACGCCCTTAGTAAAATTCTACGCGTAAAAATTAACGTTATCGTCTTACTACGGCTTACGGTTAGCATCGCGGGATAGGAATCGAGATCGCCAAGTTTTCTCGACGTTTCCGCGAGGTCATTGTGGCAGCGCAAAAATAAGAAAGCCTACGGACTTGATAGTGCCAGTCCCATAAATTCGATTTGTTTATTATACCTCGTGCAAAATATACGAGGGACAGAGAGAAATAGAGAGAGAGAGAGAGGGGGAGAGGAAGAAAATGAGTGACGGTACCTCACATGAGAAATTGCCCAAGGTTGATAAGAGGGTGGACAAATTGTGAAAAATCTGCGGAGGTAAAATAAAGAGAAAAATAAAAGAAAAAATGTCCGACGACGTTCGCGTAATTACGAAAGAATTGTCAGTAACGTGCAACGCGATTGTTTGGTCGTTTCTTTTTTCAACCGTAAAAAATAATACACCGCAATTTTTTTGGCCCGGGCATTATCATTAACAACTTACCAAAGATAGATTCGCGAGTTCTAGCGAGAACATCGACATTCTGTGAGGCATGGGACTACTTCGACTTCGCTAGTGTGTCTGTCACATAAACGTTCGTAGTTTACTGCGCTCAGAGCAAAATAAGCAGGAAGACTGGGGTGCGCCTCACTTACGACTCTACAACGATGGGGAGGAGGGGTGAGAAGAGATCTCGTGGAAGGGGGCAGTAAGGAGAACAAGAAGGCAGCGACGACGATGACGAGGTAGGAGGAGGCCAGAGCAGTGCGGAGAAAGAAAAAAAATCTACTGAGCTGTAAAGCGAACCGCGTTTACGACCGTCGTTAAGTCCGCTCTGAGCGACCTGTCTGATTACATTGATGCTGCTTACTGCAAAAGCGGTACTAATCCTTCCAACGATTCGCCGAACGCGCACGCAACTATTAGGAGCTATCGCGAGAAAACCGCACCCTCCCTCCCTCCCTCCCTCTCTCTCTCTCTTTCTCAGATTAGCGACATTAAATCGTAGATGATCGATTTTTGCGCATCTCGATGAATGGACCGAGCTGGCGGACAACGGGGAGAATATCGCTTTACCTTTTAACACATTTTAGAATCTTCTCTAACGAGCCTACTACACTCGAACACAATTACCGTGGATATTTCGCGGAATCGATTCATAATATTTATTTATTTATTTAAATTTAAATAGGAAATACTCTTTGACTTAGAAAAAAAAAATATATATATATACATACATATAAAAGAGAAACGAAAAAAATACATAAAAATAACTAACAAATTTTAAGATTTTAATATAATAAAAATAAATAGCCGCAACGAAAGAAATTCAAGATGGGAGGGCGCGAATCAGGTAACGTCTGACGGTACCAATTGAGTTGTGAAACATAACAACAGGATCAGAAAGCTCATCAGCCGACATATAAATCTGGTTGATTGAGTTGAAACGATTATAATTTGTACGATGAAATTCAATATAAAATTCAATTCAATATAAAATATAAGAACGGGAGGGGAAACATTAAGAGGAACGATACACATCGATAATACATTTCTCCGCACGGAAGATATGCGAGACAAAGATCCAACATCATCGTCCACCCATCCGATCGTCGGTCGGTCCATGTCTGTTGGCAGAGCGCGAAGAGTCGCGGCGCAATTTGCGTCGCGAAACGCCAAGAATATATGGCCGAGCAGAAACGTCGTCGTCCGTGGGACATCGTCGCCGTGGACTCTCGGCGTCGCTTATCGTATACATTGGAAAGAAGAGAGGCGTACCAAGTGCCAACCGCCGCCGGATTCCATCGCACGGTCGGACGGTCGATCGGTCGGTCAACGGAGAAGAAGCGGACGGAGAGTGAGCGCGGCCCGAGAGGAGAGATCGACTCACTTTCAACAACAACCCTAATCACCGGCTGGGAGCAATCAGTATCCGAGATAGCCGACAATCCTCCGCCGACGTTTTAATTACCGCTTCCATTTTCATATCTCGTGTATCGCCGCGCATCGTTTAGCGAGCCGTACATTTTTAGTTTGTTTTACGACCACCATTGCGCCGCGATGCTGTTGATGCCTCTTCCTCCTCCTCCTCCTCACGACTTCTCGGCGATGTTGCCCCGGTTACGCGCGTCCGATAAATTTAGATTTTTCAGCGTCCGCGGTCCGATATGCTCCTATCGAGTACCGGATAATCTGCGCGATAAGAGCGACGACTCGCTGGAACTGCGGCGCGAGTTTTTCGCGAATTTTCAAGAGAACGCGTTTGCACTCATAACTGCTCGTACGTCACGAATATAATATGAATTTTTCATTATCAAGCGGCTACCGGCGCAGAATTGAAACGATTGTGTATGGGAAGCGAATGGTGAGACGAACTGCATTTCGACGCGACGCGGTAACAATGGAAACGTTGCGGTTTGCGGGAACACGCTGACATGTGACGATATCATTGCGAACAGCACTCTGTCGTCTTCATCCCTTTTCGATGTAGACATGTAGCGTTAATAGAAATATATGAAATTAAGCTATCGATATACACGAATGTCCACGTTGAAATAATAAAAAAAGTTATGTCAGTGTAAAAGTAACCGTTCGAATGTGATTTTAATGCTTTAGAAAAGGCGCGAAGACGTCTCTAATGAAAACTATTCTCTGGAAAGTGTCTGGCAATTTCTCTCTCTTTCTCTCCTCCCCTTGTCTCTCTGTCCCTCTTTCTCCCTATTTACATGCAAAATATACATGGGCGCATCCATTTGGCGATTATCTGAATATGCAAACCGCACGACACGGGAGAGCCTTGAAACGTATCGGTAATTAATCGAGATCTGCCGTAATCTCCCCGGGACGCCAGCCGGAACGTATGGGAGCGAATTAAATGTGAATACCGCGGAGGCAGCTTATCTTTGAGCCGAGCGAACGTAATCCCGATAGCTGACTGGCGTCGAGTTTGAGTTCTGCTTTCTCACGCGAACGGCGAAGCTATTTCCCCTCTAAATCGTCTAACGAGGACGATAGCCGACTATCGTTTGTGAAGACAAAGATGGGACGGAGGACGGCCAGCACTCGTAAATTCGATTCTTTATAGTGTTGTCATCGTTAAAGCCGTGGAATCGGGAGGATGAGGGGTGCGGGAAAGGGATCGCCGCACCTTTAAACTCCTGCGCACTTTATGCGCGTCCCGAGCGGTCGCTTTGATGAAGTTAGTCGCAAACTCGATACCGGCGGAGAATTCTTCGCAATGTAGTAATCCATTACGTTGTTTGCACACGGTTTGCTATTCGTTACACGCAATATTGCACGACGCAATACGATAGGATAAGATACGTCAGGTGTTGTTCAGTGATCACGATTTTCTCACGGTCGCAATCAATTGTGATCGTCTTTTCGCTCGCGTTTGATTATCGTGACACGTGAATATTTCTCAGAAAATCAAGAGAGATTCAGTGCGTCAGATTTATCACGATAGCGCGTATCAGACAAAATGCCGAGAGAGTAAATTGGTCTTTTAATAATTACAGATGTTAAAAGTGTCGGAAAGTTAACGAAAAATGAGAGAGGAGCAGAACGATAAAGGAAGTAAAAAAGAGTAGGAGGAACACGCGGGAGGGAATCGAGAGGAGGATGAGCGGCCGTTTACTGGTCTAAGCGCGCTGCGGTCTGCCTGGCTCTCGGAAGGAAGGGCATTTTATAGCTTAGAATCTGTTTTATGTGTGCCGGATCTGCGATTACGACTCCGACTCCAAACGATCCAAACAAAGGAAAAGAGCGCGGCGATGAGTAACGGAGAGATCACGATTTACGCTCCAGACTGAAAACTAATCCTTCCTTGACCCGGTGCTTACGTCGAAATCGATTTCGTCACTTCTGTTACGGTCGCGGCCAAATAATATTGCGACAGACAAACGGCCCGGAAGGGTTTCACGAATCATGCGAGTACGCAAATTGCGTGAAATAAAGACCCCCGTCGATTAATATTCTCTCGACCGATGCGCTGACTCGCGACTTCTATTCAATGATTAACCCGTGGCAGATAATAAAATTGACTCACCAGTGATACGTGGCAGATGATTCGGGAGGACTGTCAGGGTACGGAGGCGTACTTATTGCCGCTGCTGCTGTCAGAGGGTTGAGGGGCCACGTGATCGGCCAGAGATGGAATGGATTTTGTGATGTTCCTATCCCGATGTAGGGCACCTGTCCTTCGTATGTCGGAGCACCCACGGTGTTCGGTGGTATCGGGAGATAGCAACACGCTCCGTGCTGGATCATCATTCGAATTTCGTGGATTTCTGCACAGAAGAAAAGCAGAACCAGTTTTATTACTCACTGTTCCGAAATGTCTTATTATTAAGATCAATACAAACACGAGAAATAAATGATAGTCGGATGAGCAACGTAGAGAAGCATTTCTTTACGACGAACGTGTCGAAGCGCAATATATACTTGTCTGATAGTGATCGTTTTTTCTAGTATTTCTATTAATTTGGTAATTTAAAACGAGACGTTTATAGTCGCGCAGACATATGGATCGGTCGGCGCTGAGACACGAATTGGAATATAATAATAAGGAAAACGGGACCCGTATTAATTTCTCGTTTCCATCTGGTTATTTATTCAATGCCACATTATTTTTCGCTGACTTTCTCCTTTATTACTCGAGGACAATGTCTCGCGTTTCTGTGTTTCCATCACACAGTACATAATTATCTTTCTCTTATATCTGCTAACAATTGACATGACCGCAATATGACACCGAGTCCTGTTTTACTTGCATCACATAAAAAGTGAAAGAAGCATCTCTTATTTGATATTATTGTTTTTGTTGTCGTATATATCTATCGACGCTGAGCGCGAACAAATTCGTATTTCACTGTAATCGCAAGATCAATCTCATTCGCATTCGGAAAACGATACAGTTTCGAGATCTTCATCGCGGTGTACCTCGGACAGTCTAAGGCGCAGTCAGCGAAGCGTGATTCCGGATCATTGGAGTATTTATACATTCAATAAAAATTCATTCGATCGGCGTTAAAAATGCCCGATCTCGGCCACGCGAGGCGTGGTTTTCATAAACACGCGTAAGTATAATCCTGCCAACTACAAACGGCATAAGACGACCTTATATTGCATCGCATAAGGCCGTGACTTCGCCGCCCGACAGTTACCGCTTTTGTGCTTTCATTGCTTAATTGGTGGCATTTAATTTTAATTGTTACCACTCCCGCAGCCGGAGATAATGAATACTGTTTACTGTCAAGTCGTCGTTCCCTCCTCCTCCTGCCCCTACACCCCTCTAGTCATACTATAGGGCTTCCTTCGAGGCATAAAATTACCACAGCTAGAGGCATTATAAGCGATCTAAATTAGTTTCTGTCCTGATTGCCGACATATATCTTTAGCATCTACTGAAACGGATCAATATGTAAGTTTATAAGTGTGTTCGAAGAGCTCGTCACCGCGCTATTAACGTTAATCCTATCAGCTCCGTGTACAAAGCCAGGACAGCGCTAGTGAATGCAAGCTGAATAGCAATAGCGAAGCGTTAGCGTAGCAGACGTTCCTTCAAGACTCTCGTAATAACTGGCAAAATCTAAAACTGAAATAGAATTTTTTCACCTTTCGCGCGTGCATTTTTCGTAATTATATCAATGATAGAAAAAATAAAATGGCGATTAAAAGCATATAACACGCGTAACGTAATATTTACAACTTATCGATTTGTGCTCTAAAGGTATCAACCGCAGAAAGTGTAGTTTTATATTCCTATTCGCTATCAGCATCGTATAAATTTACTTTACGATAAAATTCTTCACCATAATTAAATAAAAAAATGCTTCAGACTGATGATATACCACTATACAATAAGCACAAATTTTATAATATATACACAGCCGTCATATATTCGTTTGCTGTTGCTACAGACAAGTCCTCAATTGGCGCGCTCTTATGCAAGATAACTTATCGGAAAGGATGTTGAGAGTAGCAATGAATATTAATAAGCATTGAGATCGCCCAAATAATTCGTGGAAGCGAGGAGAAGGGATTAACGAAACAACATTTAACGTTCTGAAATTAATTGCCGAGGGAAAGACGAGTTCGTGGAAAGTGAGGGACTTACATTTATCGTTCGAAGTGAAAAATATCAACGACGTTAGACCCGAAATACTCCTCTTATCCCTTAATTTGAAACATAAATTTCGCGCGGCATAAATGTAAATTACAAATTACTTAATCGCGGCAGGTTCTTGTGCGGTTATACGTAGTGATTATAAGGGTATTTGGAAATTACGGTGAATTATGCGTAAAAATTTATTATACGCGTCGGAGAGAGAAAAAAAAGAGAAAGATGGGGGGGGGGGAGAGGGGGAAGGAGAAAAAGTTATGCGACAGTTTCAATTCGCGAAGCGACAGTACTCTCACTAGAGCCGATAATTGCCGGTTCAACATGTTGCGGATGACGTTTCTTGATTGCTGGGATGCCCCGATGCTTGATGCGGGTCGATTTATAACGCGACTATCACACGTCGTAACCGTAGGCAGAAACCGTATCTGCATACTTATTTCATGCTCGCCTTTCAGCTCCTTTCTCTCTTTCTCTCTTCGAGGCAGGACCGATGCGTCTTTCTTGAATTCCGTTCCGATGCTTAAAAGCACACTTTTTACGACACATCGGTAACTCTGTCGATTATTATCGCATCGTAAACTGACGAATTAAAGGATTGCTCCGCGAAATTCTAATCGCGTAACTCTCGTTCGTTAACCTGATAGAAATACGGTAGCGACGCGCCCATTCGCCACAGACGCGAAACGAGGAAACGCGATAACGTTAGATATCAAGTACTTTCGTCACAGGCAACCGAATAAAACGGAATAAAAATGTAAAAAATCCGCGCTTTAGCAGGAGAGAAGAGATTTGCGCGGGATATACGAAGCTTTGATAGGGTATGATCTGTATATCACTGATACTTACATTCCGATTTCCGTCAACTTGGATCCAATTAATGACTGTAATTAATGGTTGCAACGGCCATCACGCTTGAGGCGACAATTTCTTTAACGGCAATACCTCACTGTGTTTTGCACCGACTACACGTCCGAAACATTATCGGTCACCCCGGTATTTACGTCGTGCGCCTCGGGCAAGCGGCCTACAAGCCGGCGCGGTTATCAACAAACCGCGACTCGACGTCTGCGGAAAGCGTATTCCCGAGATTTATTACGGGTCTCAGTTTTCTACTTACATTCACTCCCATCAACGAGGACCGCGTCGGCTGTAAGTGAGAAACTTTCCGAGACCCGTCCGCGCAGCCAGCCAGATACCACGTGCAATTATCAGCACACGCGCAAGGATGTTAATCTGATATCGCGCGGTGTGCATTATAAAAGGCTCATTTATCACGTAATCGTGAAATAAAGGACGCTAGGTGCGACCGTGTACCGCGTTTTCGTGCACTTCTTAACAACGGATTGCTCGCCGTGCATTAACAGCGCGAAAGGATAGACATCTACGAAGAAAGAAAAAATCGCGAGTTTATTAATGACTAAAAGTGATAATTTTGTTTTCTTTTTCATGCGAAAACTACGTCGAGCACACTTTCTCTTTCGCTACACGGGAACGGAAAACGGGCATTCGTTACGATCAGTCGGAAATAGTTACGTGAATCTGCGTTTCTGATAAATTTTATCGAATAGAATTGCAGGCGATCGATCAAAAAGACATCGATTAGAGGTATGGATCTTTTTTTCTCGGGGTTGCACGAAGCGATAGCAAGATCGGGGAAAGCGCAAGTCTCGCGCCTCAATGGCCTTTCATACGCGATTCGCATAAAGCTGCGTATGGAAATAATTTATTCTAGAAGATGATTCCGACCAACATAGAGTACTCTCGTAAGCCGGTCGTAAAAAATTGCGGATCGTAAATTATGTTTCAACGGTGTAGCCTTGCGTGCACGCTCCTTGCACTACCCGATTCTTTTCTTAGGGATCGCGCCACTTTTTAATGCCGCGTCGTCGCATGTAAACAGCCATACGTGAAACACATATCTTATCCGCTTGAATCAGCGACATGAGAGAGATATACGCGGTCGGAATAACAAAATTCGGCCCGACGAACGATTCCACGGTTTGCGAGCGCGCTATATTTTCGAAAGAAAGAGGGTACACGACTCGAAACGGGATTAAATTAGAAGAGCACTCTTACATAAATTTCGCTGATTCACAGTGGAAATCGTTGGGAAGAAGTGAGAGACTGAGGCGTGCGCGTTCGCGCCGGGCATTACAATGGCGTGAGGCTAAAGTTATACGCACGCAGCGTGTTGCAAGGGGGTAAACTTCAACGTCGCGATGGGTATGTATTACGAGTAACAGAGTATTATCGGATCAAACGTGCTCAGAAATAGGATTCGCAGCTGCGTGTTCGCAAGCGTCTAGCTTACTTAATTGCCATAACTTCCGGTCGCCTTAGAATTACGTGACGTCACCTCCGTCCGTTCGTCCGTCGAGGGACGAAGCGACGCCAAATATAAAGCTTGGCAGACTTCCGCAAGTTCGACTCTCGTTTCTACTTTTTATCGCTTTTACCTGTGTTTCAGGACAACTTTGAATATTCCAATCAGAATCTGCGCCGTATATTGGAAAATCTGGGAAGGTTTCTATGCGGATCGCAGCTGTATAAACGAAATTGCCAGATCAATGTAAACTTTCAACATGCACCTCCAATGCCGGCGCATGTCGAAATGGAACGATGCGAACGGTGAAGTGGCGCGCGAGTGTAGCGGATAATACGTGCGATAACGCGAACTTTCACCCCTGTTTCACCCCGCGCCTTGCGCGCTTCGATTCAACACCGACGAAAATTTCAGCGCGAGTTGCAACAGCATATATCCCACTCGCCAATCACCTGCATTTATAACGTGTTAGCGAGTAACATGCTACTCGAAATGTTTCTTCCTTTCCTCCTTCCCAACCATCTCTGCAATTTGCGCGACAAATTATAAATATATGTACATCGCCAAATAGTTCGCGAAACACATGTATTCCTCTCGCATTGAAATTACCGGTTCCCGCCATAGTGATATTATATTATTATGCATCGAATACGCGAAACTACGTAGAATTTGCTAAAACGCTGTCATTTGGCAAAACAGTGTGCGCGCGTCGTCTTAGATGTACTGAAATAATAATACGCCGCTGCGAGTTACGGCCCGTTCCGGCCGCTAACTCAATTCATATTAATTGCTATCCACGGGAGTACGGGATCAATTAATTCACGAATCGTGGACTCCCCTGTGGGAAAACGCGCGATTACGGATACGCAAACGACGCAGAGCGGGACGTTTTCGTGTTAAAGCCGCTTTCACGGATCGAACTTTTCTCGCATCGATCATACATGTCCACTGTCTTCTCATAATAATATAATAACAGCTGTATCGAAGAGACGTTCAAAAGGGTATCGAGGAGGAACGAAATAACTGTGAAGTAACTAGGGAAGAATAACGTGAGGAAAAGTCGGCATCGTGAATGGCGCGCGGGCGTACATAACTCTCTCGCGCTCACGTGCGTAAAGGCGAACGGCCACGCGCGGTGCAAAAGTTGTAATATTATTCGAAAGTCTTTCAAAGTTGAGGCGGCTCGAACGGCCGGTTTTACGACGGAGCACCGACGCCGCACAATGCCGGTCCTGGTGGTTTTACATATCGTAAAGTGCATGCACACGCGAGCTAAGGAGCGCATATAAATCGGCTTGCCAACTGTTATGTCTCCCGCGTGCAAAAGGCCGTTTACCATTTTATGCTCCCGGGGCCTTTAAGTCCTTTCCATGGCCCCCTCTTTCTTTCTTTCTCACTTTCTCTCTCTCTCTCTCTCTTTCTCTTTCTCCTCTCGCCTTCTCGACACAAAATCGGCCCCTCGAGTTTTGATTTCAAGTTGTCGAACGTCGAAGAGGTAAAAGTCGTTAAACCGAAGTCGAGAGGCGGTACATTCGCGAGAATCGACGAAGACAACGCGATATCCTCGGCGCAATCTGTACGAAACGGCTTTAGAGACGGAACACGTTCGACGATATTTTGTAGTTTCTATTGCGGAAAGCGAACGAACTTTATGTTCCTCCATACTGGTGAATCAGTGGACAGTAAGCATGAGAAAAATCGACAATAAATCAACCTAGCGTCCAAGTTTCGCGTCGCTTCGCTCATAATCTAAAGAAGTCGATCATGAAGCACGCAAAAGGTAAAGAAGAAAATACGGCACATAATGTGCGTATTTAAATTGAAATATCTAATTAAGTTCGAAACAGCGCCGCGAAGGCGCGTGTTTTCATGTCTATTAAGAGCCAGAAAGCTCGTATCACGCGATTGCACCGAGGAAAACTTAATTGCATTAATTGCTACAAACGCGGTGAATTACGTCCGCGCTTGGCACCGGTGAATTATTTATCGCAAATGTGCATAACAGCGCGCGCGTACGACGCGTACAAATTACGCGATTGTTTCTAACGATCTCGTTAACCATCCCCACGGGAATACGTCGAATCTCCGATACCCGTGGAATGCATCAAAGCGACTTTGAACGTAATTCCAAGGAGCATGAGATCATTATTTAATTCGCGTTACTCCGCTCGAACTCGTGAGATTCACGTTGCGTGCACGTGCGTATTATGCGCGGCATAACGAAGCATTCGTGTCTTACGACGATATCGCCGTACAAACGTTCGTTCGCGATACGCGCTTGAATATGTATCCTCCGCGACTGTGTTACATCCGCATATTTTCTCTATCGTTCGTGCGGCCCCAGCCGCCTCTTCGATGAAAAATATTACGTGCCGAAACATTACAATGTAACTCAACATTATTATCGTAATTAAGTATTAATTAGAATTAATTTGCAATTAATCTCTCGACTCTCTCTCTCTCTCTCTCTTCAGTAATTAGATGCACGTAATTAGTAATATACTTTTCTGTGTAAAATATTTATAATTTATTTACCTGTACAAATAATATGCAAGCACTGTGGCGCGGTGTTATCATTCTATAATTGTTCGAAATTATTCCACCGTCTTTAAAGCGTAAAACAGATTACAGTTTCGACGATGCAACGTGATGCAGGAAGCGTAACGGAAGCTTAAGTCGTCGTGCATGCGTACACGTACCTGAGTCGAAATTTTAAATTCTACATTAAGTCTTGAAGTGGAGAAAACGGAAGTAAGTTCCTATTTATAGCACCAAAGGGGCACAATAAGCGCCCCTTTAATGCTACAAAGAATTACCTACCTTTAAAGGGAATTCAATCCTTCATAAACTAAATTTTAGTTTCACACTGAATCTTCAATGTGAGAGAAAAAAAAAACGGTGATAACTTTCCCATTTATAGCTCCAAAGAAGCACAACAGAAGACCTTTGAACAACAGGAGACCTTTGAATATTTAATGTAGGACTGAATCGGACTTAAAGTAGAACTAAACTTTTGACTGGAGTAACGCGCATAAGTAAATAGCGCTTACGCTAAGAGAAAAGAAAGTCGTACACTCGTATCGTCGGCCTTGCACTCTGCGCGCGATCGTTCTCTATCTATCGCGTCGGCAATTCACGCGAGCGCGTTCGCGTTTAACAATGTATTCTTGTGTGTATGCGCGTGTGCCGCGTGTATGCCGCGAAACTACGTTTCAATCAAACATTCCGCCGCATCTGACCGAACGACCTCGTGCAATTTGCACGTACGCTGCTCCGCTGAGGCGTTCGCGCACACCGACACTATCGCGCCAGTGCACGCGAATACTACACGCCGCGATGTCGCATCGCGCAGCCGAGAGAGCGGTCGCTTGCATTCTAGATAAGATAAACGCGGCGCACTTATGCATGCCGCTCGACCGTTACGTACATTGTAGTCGCTAATGCCAAGGAAAACCAAGTCGCGCCTATTGCTTCCTACCACGTGCGCGGATACACGTATGTGTGCGTGCACGTGTCACTTCACCGTCGCCTCCTCTTCCTTTCTCCTTCTCTACCACCTTCTCTCCCTCTCGCTCCCTCGAGCCGCTGCAAGTGCAACGCCACGATGTCTCTCTCTCCGTCTTGTTCTCTTCATCTCTCCTTCTACACTCAGCTTGCGGTTATGCAAGCTCACGGCATACATTGCCAATTTTCTCGACCAGATTGCCCGCGGCCGACGCTCAGTTTCATCCTCGTCTCGCGCGTCTCTGCCGCCCCGCGCGCGGCTCCCACCGCTGTCGTCTTTCTAATAAAAAGGCAGTACTTCTTCCTCGCTCACACCGCACCGTGTCTAAGTTACACATATTAACTCGTCTGTACAGGCTGCAATCGCGATCTTCCCTCTTGTTTTGCTTCCGTTCAGCCTCTCGCGCGCTGTTCGCCCTGTCTCTCGTCTTTCGTCTCGCTCCTGTCCGTTTCGCGAATGCGGATCTCCGTCTACCCTTCTCTCTCCATCTCACGGCTTCTTCTCTCAGTCTCTCTTTTTCCTTTCCGCCGTCATTCCTCCGTCCCTTCCCCGGCCGATCCATCTCTCTCTTCCTCCACGCGTGTCTCGTCTCACTTGCGCGCAGAAACGTGCAATTCAGGGCCGTACGAATCCGCTTCTCACGTCACGTCAGCGAGCACCGACATGGGGAATCGGCGGCGGATTCCTTTTGCCCGCGCTCTCGCCGCGGCCGCCCGCGCGCTTATTTTATTGCGCACTGCACCGCGAAGATTTCGCGAACGTAGGTTGCCACCGCCGACGCGCGATTTGCATCCGTAATCGTGAACAGCTACGTGCTCGGTAAACCGGTAATGATCGACGCGAGCGTATTTAATTGCGCGTGTAGAGAGACTGCCAAGCCAGGACGACACGTTGCAATAAATAGTACAAAAGTACTGGGCGTTATATCCGCCGCAATAAAATTAACGATACCGTAAAAGTTTTATAGTTTTATACGGCGTTGTTACGCGTGGTAATAACGCTGATTAGTTAATCGTCAAGAAATTTTATCTATTAAGTTCGATACACGATGAAAGTGGACTCCTCTCTGATCAACCTCGGCGCGCAGCTTTGGACAACGGCGTTGCAACCAGAGTGTCATTGGAATGTTTCCGTCAGACGAGTCGAAATTCAATTTACACAGGGAACATGGTAATCTCTCGTTAAAACGTTGGTATCGATACATCGTATTTGTTTCATCAGCTGCCTCTCCAAAATTACCTTCAAGAGTTTTTGCTTGAGAAAATACGTGTTTACTTCACATAGAAATCCTTCTACCCGAGGAGAAGTTAAAGTACATCCCTGTGATGCGTAAACGTTAGTTTTTTTCCCGATTATGATGTATCAAAGGAAGTATCCGTTGAGGAATTCGAAATTTTACAGTCGAAACACCGCGCGTGTACGTGACGCCACACCGCGTGACCAATAAAACGTGAAATTAATCCACGGCTAATTTTAAATTTCACGTGTATATATACGAACGCCTCTTACGGCGTACGCTAGAATAGAACCACCTACCTCTTTTCTCTCGGAATGTGAGGATTAATTTAGAAGAAGGAAATGATTAATCGAAGTTCACGCGTGTTATGCAATATGTGGCAAAATTGAACGATTCATAGGATTTTTATATTTCGAATTAACGAAGGAAATATTCGTAAGTATTGACGTAATTTTTCCTAGCTTTTTGCAAATAGCGGTTTGCGAATTAAATGTCGCCCTCGTTCACGAGTTTTTGCCGGCATACGATGGCCTTCTTTTTCAGTTTTCCGAGGACGCGCGATAATCGCACACTTGTCACGCTATCAGACTATCGGTAGAAGTATCGAGCGATTGCCGTGATTTTTCCTCGCCTTGAGATAAGATGGGAAATATGACCTGGTTCTAACGGTATTCCAGCCGACATTCGAAAACGACGGTATCGATTTTGATCCAGTTAGAAACGTGATACGACGGAAAAATTGACGCTGATTCTAACGGTCCTCCGAACAACCGTTCGTATGCTTTTATCAGGATACAATTTCTTTTTCTTCCATTTTTTGTTTTTTTCAATCGATCGTGCCACATACGAGTTGTTAGTACGTGGACGTGATAATTACGAAACGATAGCTACGAAATACGACGCTTTTAACATATTATCCAGTTATCTGTGGAGAAATATTAGTTACACTCGATAGATTGTACATGTATTATAAATATGATTTCTTAATTATTACCAAACAAACTCGGACATGAGAAAAATTACACGTCGCGACCGTGAACGCCGCGTACGGCCCTGTTTGAGTGATACATTCGTCCTTCTTCATCTGAAAAACAGATGTCACTCTTGCGTTTGTGTTCTTTATTGCGACATCGCACGTTACTCGTTCCGCAGCCTATTCATAACACTCGTTTTTCCCTTGCTAAAGCGATTCATCAGTTATCTGATCGCGTATGTACATATTTATCGATGCGACATCACCTCGTTTACGTCAAATTGCATCGTGACAATGTGATCGCCAGGATGTTGTAATTCCACATAAATTCCTACGTTTTCCCGGTACCGGTAATATAATGCTTGACCCAAAAACGTTTCGTATCGTTGAACGTATTTTTTACATAATTATACACGAACCGCCGCTTGGAATTTTAGAACGTAACGAATTTAATGCATTGCTGCGTTGCAGACCATACCTTGCGTAGTAACGCGATAATAAACGCTATTATGCAACTCGAATTATTTTCCTCCTCTTTGTTCATCGAAACGAGCTCATCGGCACATTTATTTTCCAAAACCACCGCAAAAATATAACGGTCGTAAAGAGAGAACAAAATAATAAGGCGCATATCGAGATCGTTTAGTTGAAATTTCAACAATTTCAAATAGAGTTTGCGTGAAAGAGCACGACAAAGACTCGCGATATAGCGGAAGACCACCAAGGTCGACAAGTAAATTTACACAGCTCGCCGACTTATCTGTCCATTTCTACTATTATCGTTGCACCTGCACCTCGTATCTCGGTATCACGGATTCGTTCCTCCGCGAAGTGTAATGGTGCGTGCTCGCGCCCTTTCGTTCGCTAGTTTCAGTTGCGTATCCGCAAGACCGCATTTCATCTGTCCGTCTGTCCTAGGAAATTGCGCCGGCTTTTTTGCTCCCGCTTCTTCTACTTACGTCTCTCCCTTCTCGACTTCCTCGCTCTATTTCACGCGCGGGAAACACGAGCTCGTTTAATTTCCCCCGAGATTAAGATACGCAACCGAATCGAAGATTTAAGTAAGCCGACAACGAGATCGTGTTCTCGATTAGAGATAGGAGATGAGAGCGAAGGAGCAAATGTACGCGGTTTAATAAAGCGCTTCTTTCGAAATATGTGATATACATATATGTATCCGATAATCAAGATAACGTTCAGCAGTCGACATCTATTAATTATACATACAAACAGAGAACCAAGATTTACAATACATGAAAGAAATAATAGTTTCTTTTTTTTTCGGATTCCGCACGAAGTCACTTCAGCTCGGTGTGGTCCACATGGCTCTCATCTCGTCTCATTAAATCCGAACAGGATTCTGGACACGAAGGGGCCCGATTGTCATCCGGCACTGCGCACGCAATCTTCGTCGGTGTGTAACTATCTATCCTAACCTCTGCCTTCACGCCACGTTGCACGGGAACGAACAATCGTTCAGCCGTTTGCAACAGTGTGCAAAAGCTGCGTGCACCCCGTTCCTCGCCTTCGTCAGCGCAAGAGAGGGCCACTAGAGGCGATACACCGCGGAGGAGAGGATAATCCGGACACGAGAATACGATGCGTACAGTCGGCCGAGTAAGTCACCGTCGACCGTCTAATTTCGTCCGTGACCGCGTCCCGTTTGTTGCCAGACAGACCAAGAAAGCGAAGACGCGCCGTGTCGCGTCGCGCGTAACGTCGTCGCGCGAACGAGAATCCGGCAAAACCGCGGAATGCGCGGGGACCGCACGGAAGGAGGATCAGCGGAGGAGAGACGGTGCCGTTCGCGTTAATTCGCCGACGGAAATTCGTGCATCACACCGAGATCCCACTTTGCCGTCGTCACATTGGCTTTATTTTCGCGAACTTTGAGAACACTTTGATGCGTGCGAGAAGTCGTGCATATTTTTCTTCGGACGTAGATGCTGCGATGCACCTGACGCGTCGTTCATCTCTCGCTGAAATTTGGTTTTTTGCGGATAGCTGCCTCGGCTAACTTTTCGCTGCTCAATCGCGGCTAACGAATAATTTTGTCTCGTCTGTTCGGAAATTACAGAAAAAAAATTAGACTGAATTAATCAGAAACGCGTTTTGGTCGTTTTTTTTTCTGCGTTCGATTTTTGCTTTGACAACTGCGCGTAATTACGATTAAAGCGAGGTAACATCGGCAACCGTGATTATTCCACCGCGCGACTGTTTGCTTCAACGATACAATCGACCGAATCAATGACTCGGTCGGCGCCTTTCTGAGAGTCGGATAATTACTTGTACCGCAGCAACAGCTCTAATTAATTGCGACGTGATTGTATCGCGGGAGACTTTGTTGTTGTGGGTGAGAGCTACGAATTGAAATTGCCGGTTCTCCCTCGGCATGCAATCGCTCCGACATCAACTAATGTGTAATTAGGTTTGCGTGTATCATAAATGATATACCGCGTATACTTAAAGTGCCTATTATCATTCATCGAAGCGAATAATAATAAAAGTGCATGGACTCAGTGTGCTCAATGTTGTTGTCACCCACTGTATCAACGGACGGTCAGCTTGATATCCCCTTCTTCCCGAGCCCTTCGCTGTAGTCGACGTATAATTACAGTTAATTACAAACTGCGAACGATATCGCAGATAAAAGGAAGTATGTCGCTATTAGACAACGGACACTTTCGTCGTTA